AAGTGCTACAGAAATCCTTTTCACAAATAATTCTACTGCATACATTTCTTAAATAAAAAAAAAAAAAAAAGATTTGCTTGAAAGGCAGAGGTAGAGAGGGAGATCTTTCATCCGCTGGTTTACTCCCTGAATGACGGCAACAGCTGGGATTGGGCCAAGCTGAATCCAGGAGCCTGAAACTCCATCCAGCTTTCCCTGTCTCTTGGGCAGGTGCTGAAGCACTTGGGCCATCCTCCGCTGCCTTCCCAGGTGCACTGGTGAGGAGCTGGATCGGAAGTAGAGCAGCTGGGACTTGAACCAGTGCCCGTATGGGATCCTTGCATCACAGGTAGCGGCTTAACTTGCTGCGCCACAACGCCAGCCTATGATGTGCTTTTCTAGGACAGGGGCAGGTGGGATAAAACATGTCGTGGGTAGAATGTTGGTACAAACTGGCAGGAGCACTTGTTTTCTCCACCAGTCGGTGCAGGGCGCCAGCTGCTGGTGTTTCTTCTTGACACAGGAGGTTATGATTCTCTTACCCCTTTGCCAGTCTGCTTGACAAAAAGCGATCTTCCTGTTTTAGTTTGTTGATTTATTTGATCACTACTGAGTCTAATCATATTTTTATGTAGTGTCCATTCTCTTTCCATTAGATACAGATTCTTTTTTTTTAACCATTGGGATGTTATCTGTTCTTTTGATTGTTCAGCTCTTTATATTTTATAGATACTAACCTTTAGCATGACATGTGTGTTGCAGAAAATTTCCCATTTGTCATTAGCTTTTCATTTTGTTGGTAGTGTCACTACCATCCAGACAGCTTTTATTACCACGTAGTCAAGTGTGTTCATGTAATGACTCTTCTGGGTCATGTGTGCTTCCAAAGTCATCCTCTTCCTCCAAGGTTATACCAAGAGTCGCCTGTATTTACCTTTTTTTTTTTTTTTAAATATTTGTTAGGTGGAGAGAGAAAATGCGAGAGAGCACACTAGCTCCCTTCTCCCCTGGTTCACTCTCGGTTGATGCAGATAACAACCATGGCTGGGCTGGGGACCAGAGCTGGGAGCTAAAAACTAATTCAGGTCTCCTGCATAGGTGGCAGGAACCCAGTTACCTGAGCCACCATTGCTGCCTTCCGGGGCAGCATTAGCAGGAAGCTGGGGTCAGGAGCCAGAGCAATGTCAAATCCCAGCGTTCCAGCAGGGGACGTGGGCATCTTAACCTCTAGGCTGGATGCCTGCCCTATGTTTCTTCTAATACTCTATTTTGTTTATATTTCTAGCAATTAGTATATTTATAATTAATTTCTAGATATGGTTTGCAGTAAGAATTTAGCTTCGTTCCCTTGTAGAAAGCCAATCATTTCAACACTGTTTGATACGTCCCTTTCCCCTCTTGGTCATCATGTTATGGACCCATGTTTGCAAGAGTCTGCGTCCGCTTTTCTGATCTAGTCCAGTGATGCCTGATGCCTTTTGTAACCAGCATCACACTGTTTCTTTATCATGGTTTTACTGTACCTTTTGCTATCTGGGAAGGCAAGTTCTTTCTCAATTTCTTTTTGAGATTTTTACTGGATATTCGTACATTTAGTTTTTCAACTGATGTTTTAAAATAGATTTAATTTTAGAAGTTTGACTAGAATTTTGATGAAGATTACATTAAATGCCTAGGTTAATTTGAGACATACTAGTAATCTTGAAATACTGAGCCTGTCCACTCAGACACCTGATACTTTTCATTTATTTCATTTTTGTATGTCGCAAGCCAAAGTTCATATACTTTTCATGTAAGTATCGGATGGTGCTAGTTGGAGTTATTCCCAGAAGCTTTATCATCCTCGTTGCTAATGCTGGGAGACCTTTTTCTAGTGCGCATGGAGTGCTTGTGCAGCTCTTTTCTGCATGTTTGTACTTACACATGGCCGTGCCAATGGGCTCTGCTGGTTCTGTTATTGGTTTAAGGTTTTTTCCCAATGGATTTCATTGCTGTGCAGTATGTGTACTTGATCTTTCACCTTTTGGGGTTGCACCTGGAGCCTGCGCTTTTTCCACAAGGCCGAGGTTTAGCAAAGGAAGCACCTTGCACATCACAGGAGCTGACTGTCCATTTCCTCCTGTTTTCAGTCTCACTTTGATCAAAAAGAAGAAAACCAAACTAGGAGTAAAATTGATAATGAAATAGATATTTATTAGTTATAATCTAATCTTCCTTAATTTCTTCTTCAAAAAATAATATAATAATCATTGATAATTTCTCTCCTGATATCCTTAGACAAAAAAGAAAATATTGGTGGAGTCAAAAACCTTTAATGGGGCCGGCGCTGTGGTGTAGTGGGTTAATGCCCTAGCCTGAAAGTGGCAGCATCCCATACAGGTGCCGGTTGTAGTCCCGGCTGCTCCTCTTTTGATCCAGCTCTCTGCTATGGCCTGGGAAAGCAGTAGAAGATGGCTCAAGTCCTTGAGCCTCCACACCCATGTGGGAGACCCAGAAGAAGTTCCTTGCTCCTAGCTTTGGATTGACGCAGCTCCAGCCGTTGTGGCCATCTGGGGAGTGAACCAGCAGATGGAAGACTCTGTCTCTACCTCTCTCTGTAATTCTTTCAAATAAATAAAGTAAATCTTTAAAAAAAAAAAAAAAACTATGCTAGAGTCAAAAACCTTTTTATCATTTATTTTTGTAGGAACTGGGCTATCATAGCCTTCTATCTTGGGTTTTTAACCCAAAGTCTGTTCCACCCCTCTCCCAGATTTGCATTTTTTCTTAAATGAGGGATACAGAATCATTGGAAAAAAAATGTTGACCATCTTAGAAACCGTGAGTCCTCTGTTGATAACTGTTGAGCCTGGGATGCCTGGTTCCAGTCTCTGCTACCTCACTTCCGGTCCATCTTCCTGCTGATGCACACCCTGGGAGGCGGCAGGTGCTGACTCAAGTGCCTGGGTCCCCACTGCCCATGTGGGAGACTTGGAAGGACTTCTGGCTCCTAACTTTGTGCTGGCCTTTCCCTGTCTGTCGTGGGCAGTAGGGGAGTATACTAGCAAATGGAAGATCTCTGTCCATCTATCTCTGACTTTCAAATAGAGTAACAAATTTAAAATATGTACTATATTATTATAACTATAATGTATATTAATACCCATTTATTTACTCGGTACATCCAAGAAAAATCCCTTATTGGTTCACAGAATACATGCCATCTTTTTTTTTTTTTTTTTTTTTAAGATTTATTTGCTGACTTGAAAGGCAGAGTTACAGAGAGTCAGAGAGAGAAGTCTTCTATCCATTCGTTCACTCCCCAAATGGCCGCAATGGCTGGAGTTGGGCTGATCCAAAGCCAGGAGCTTCTTCCAGATCTCCCATGCGGATGCAGGGGCCATCTTCTATTGCTTTCCCAGGCTATAACAGAGAGTTGGATTGGAAGTGGAGCAGCAGGGACTTGAACCAGCACCCATATGGGATGCCTGCACTGCAGTTGGCGATTTGCCCACTACACCACGACACTGACTCCATGCCATTCTCGTTTACATCTGCGTAGTACTCATCATGGTTGATTCATCCACTCTCCCCTGTGTAGGCTTGTAGGTTGTTTGGAGGACTGTGTCATGTGTTCTAAACAGCTGCAATTAGTAGGCTTGAATGTGTGTACTTTATTGTTGAGGTGTGGGATTGCTGGTGTCAGAGGTGAGTGCATAGATCATGCCGTTAGGTTTTGTAAGTTTCCCTCCAGGACCGTTGTGCATGTGTGTGTGGCATTCCCACCAGCACTGTGGTGTGGGAGTTCCTGTTCCCCAGCTTCCTTCCCAAGAATTTCTTGTGGAACTTTTTTTTTTTAAGATAACTTCCAGTGATTTTTTAAAATTTTTATCTTTTTATTACTTTTTAAAGACTGGGGGGGGGGGGCTGGTGCTGTGGCACAGTGTGTAAAGCCACCACATACAGTGGCTTTACATATGAGCACTGGTTTGAGTTGTGGCTACTCTACTTCCAATCCAGCTCTCTGCTGTGGCCTTGGAAAGCAGTAGAAGATGGCCCAAGTCCTTGGGCCCCTGCACCTACGTGGGAGACCCGGAAGAAGCTCTTGGCTTCTGGCTTTGGATCAGTGCAGCTCCAGCCATTGCAGCCAATTGGGGAGTGAACCAGTGCATGGAAGACCTCTCTCTCTCTCTGCCTCTGCGTCTCCTTCTCTCTCTGTGTAACTCCAACTTTCAAATAAATAAATCTTTTTTAAAAAAAATGATTATTTGGGAGGTAGAGTTACAGACAGAGGGAGAAACAGAAAGGTCTTCCACCCACTGGTTCACTCCCCAAATGGCCGCAATGGTCTGAGCTGGGCTGATCTGAAGCCAGGAGCTTCTTCCCGGTCTCCCACATAGGTGCAGAGGCCTGATCACTTGGGCCATCTTCTGCTTTCCCAGGCCATAGCAGAGAACTGGACTAGAAGAGGAGCAGCCGGGATACGAGCCAGTCCTCAAACGGGATGCCGGCACTGTAGGCAGAGGCTTAGCCCACTACACGACAGTGCCAGCTTTGTGGTGGGTGAAAATCATTTTAAGATTTATTTATTTGAAAGGTAGAACAACAAAGAGAAGGAGAGACAAACATTCTACCTGCTGGTTTACTCCCCAGGGCTGTGTCAGGCCGAATCCAGGAGCTTCTTCTGGGTCTCCCACGTGTCTGCAAGGGCCCAGGGACTTGGGCCATCTTCCACTACTTCCCCAGGTGCATTAGCAGGAAGCTGGATCAGAAGTGGAGCAGCAGGGACTTGACTGGCACCATATGGGATGCTGGCACTGCAGGCCAGGGCTTAACCTGCTGTGTCACGGTGCCAGCCCTGAGGATCATTTCAATTTAAGTTTCAGATGTTGTAAGGTTGAACATCTTTCGCACGTCCAGGACCATTTTCATAAACTTTAAGAGCTCTGTCGATGCACACATCTTGTTAAGATTCAGCTTCAGCCTGCCAGGATGGCATCACTTTATAAATACCAGACATCACCCTGATCTTTCTCTTTCAGATCTTCCCTGGTGGCTCATTCTAATTCGACAGAAAGCATTGGTGGGCAAACTCCCAGGGGAACATGAGGTCTGCAAAGTCACCAAGATTGCTGTGTTGTCACTGTCTGAAATGGAACCTCAGGATCTTGAGCTTGAGGTAAGGTGAAATCAAAGGAAACTATGGAAGCCTGATGTAATAGAGGAGTCAGTTCAGCAGGCAAGAAACATACATTTTGGGGCTGGATAATATCTTTAAAACAATTTAGAACTCTTATTTAAAAATCTGTGAAATCCAGGGTATAAGAGACATAGAAGCAGAGCTGTTCTCATTGAATTGGCATGGGGTGGGGGGGAGACCCTTGGGACCCTGCCTACCTGACCCCTGCTTTGAAGACACATTTACTTCCAGGGAGCCCCAGTGCTCTGCACAGTATACTCTGAGAACTCCTGATCTCGGGAAAAGGGAAGTCAAGAAGGACAGATTTAACCTTTACATCTTCTTTATCTGTATTCCTCTTAAAGTTTATTTAAAAAAAAATCATTTAATTTATTTGAAAGGCACAGTTAGAGAGATGGGGAGAGATTGATCTTCCACCAGCTGGTTCACTTCCCAAATGGCTGCAATGGCCAGAGCTGGGCCCATCCAAAGCCAGGGCTTCTTCTGGTCTCTGGCAGGTGGATTTGACCTTGTCCATCCCACAGATCATCTGTTAGCATAGACGTGCTCTGAGCCCTGAGGACATTGAAATGTCACACCTCATCCAGAGAAGGTTGTTAGACTTTTAAGGGGGATTTTCCAGTGTCTTTGTGGCCACCAATCTGTAAGATTTCTGAAACTGGTAACCCACAATTGTGTAAACAGAAAAAAACTTTAGAAAATCACATTGGGGCCAGCGCCGTGGCTCACTTGGTTAATCCTCCACCTGCGGTGCCGGCATCCCATATGAGCACCGGGTTCTAGTCCTGATTGCTCCTCTTCCAATCCAGCTCTCTGCTGTGGCCCAGGAGGACAGTAGAAGATGGCCCAAGTCCTTGGGCCCCTGCACCCGCATGGGAGACCAGGAGGAAGCACCTGGCTCCTGGCTTTGGATCGGCACAGCGCCGGCCGTTGCGGCCATTTGGGGGAGGGGGGGTGAACCAACGGAAGGAAGATCTTTCTCTCTCTCTCTCTCTCTCACTGCTATAACTCTACCTGTCAAATAAAAAGGAAAAAAAAAAAAAAAGAAAAAATCACATTAACACAGAAATGTGAATGTTGTGAAGACTTTAAAAATTTCCTTATTCCTTAGACTTTTTTTTTCCATCGTTTAAGGGAACGAGATCAAAATGACAGTGAAATCTCCCCATGTGACATGGTTGGGTATTTTATAGCTGTGGGGCTGTGTGAGCTACAGCCTTGACCGGGGCACCAAAGACTATTGTATGTGTTGAGAGCTGAATACATGCCAGGACTGTCCGTGGTTAGAGGTGTCCCTAAACATAGAGGAAGGATTTCCAGAGTCTTGCTGAGTGAGTTGTTTGGTAACCCTTTCTTGGAAGAGCTGATTTGAGCAATTTGCATTGTGCCTTTTCCCTCTTGCCGCACTTTACGACCTTGAACAACAGGAAGGAAAAGAACAGCTGTGCTGAAAATCGTGAATTTCTTGCTAATCTTGTAACACGTTAATTTAAATATTTTATATTTTTATTTCAGTTTCTAGGTAGCTCCACTTAGAAGCTTAATATTTTTTAATTATTATTCTGATTAAATAGTAAATTATAAAAAAAGGAAAACAATCCTACCACTCAGGAATAATCATTCTCGACGTTTTAGTAATTTTAACAGTTATTTTCACTCTCCCCAAGCCCTTGGGAGGACCAGAATTATTTCCAAGTCATCTTTTGTATTTGCATTTTTACATCTTCCCTACTTAAAATGTTTTAAATAAACGTACATATCTAGGCACATAAAAAGACTTGGTCAGTGAAACTAGCTCTTCTGTCTCAGTGTCGCCCTGATTTCCATGTGTGTGTATCACTCCGAGTGATCCCCTGCTTTCTTCTTCCCAGCAGCACCCTCAGGCTTGCGAGTGTGCTCGCTGTTCCCAGATTTGTAAAGGCCTGGTTCCTGTAACTGGAGCAGAAGCAATTTTATTTTAGAGTCGGGTATTAATAGAATTCCTGGTTTTCTCCCTCAGTTGGCCTTTTACCTCGAGTATATACCTCACTTGTTTGTCGGATATTTATTTTCATTATATTTGAAAGGTGGAGAGGCAGACAGCCTCCATCTTCTGGTCTACTCCCCTAGGCCCACAGCAGCCAGGGCTGGGTTAAGAGAACATCACTCCATCGGGTCTCCCACACGGATGCCAGGGACCCAAGCTGGCCCATTACTGCTGCCTCCCAAGAGTGCAAAGCCCGAGCTGGAACCCAGGTACTCCAGTGTGGAATGCAGGTGTCTGACGCAGCATCTTAACCACTGCACCAATGGCTGTTCCTTGCCAGATTTTCAATTTACATATAGTTCTCCCATAGACAGTACATAATTTGGGGCCAGCATTGTAGCGTAGCAGATTAAGCTGCTGCCTGTAACACTGACATCCCGTATAGGCACTGGTTTGAGTCCCAGCTGTTCCACTTCTGATCTAGCTCACTGCTAATGTTCCTGGGAGAGCAGCGAAAGATGGCCCAAAGGCTTGGGCCCCTGCACCTACATGACAGACCTAGATGAAGCTCCTGGCTTCTGCCTGGCCCAGTCCCAGCCACTGTGGCCATTTGAGGAATGAACCAGCAGACGGAAGCTCTCTTTCTCTTTGTCTCTCGCTCTCCCTCTGTAACTCTGCCTTTCAAATAAGTAAATCTTAAAAAAAAAAAAAAAAAAAAAAGCGATTCGGTGATTTCTGTGTATTTAGTCACGTGCCCGTCACCACAAGCATTTTTAGAGCGTTTTCACCACTCAGGAAAGCCCTGTACTCATTGACCTCTGACCCCCAGCTCCTTCAGCGCTAGGCAACTACGCATCTCATTTCAGTCTCCATAAATTTGTCTGTTTTACACATCTTGTATAAATGGAACTATACACTGAATGACCTTTTTTTAAAGATTTTATTTATTTTGAGAGGTAGAGTTACAGATAGAGGGAGAGACAGACAGAAAGGGCTTCCATCCATTGGTTTACTCCCCAGATGGCCATAATGACCAGAGCTGTGCTGATCTAAAATCAGGAGCCAGGAGCTTCTTCTGGATCTCCCATGCGGGTGCAGGGGCCCAAGCACTTGGCCCATCCTCCGCTGCTTTCCTAGGTGCATTAGCGGGGAGCTGGATTGGAAATGGAGCAGCTGGGACTCAAACCAGTGCCCATATGGGATGTCAGCACTATAGGTAGAGGCTTAACCTACTACACCACAACACTAGCCTTGCTATGTGACATTTTATGAGTGACCTCTTTTACTTAGAATAGTATTTTCAGGGCCAGTTTGAGTCCCAGCTGCTCCACTTCCAATCCAGCTCCCTGCTAATGCACCTGGGAAAGCAGGGGAAGATGGCCCAAGTGCTTGGGTCCCTGCACCCGCATGGGAGACCCAGAAAAAAGCTCCTGACTTTGGCCTGGCCCAATCTGAGCTATTTTGGCCATTTGGGGAATGAACCAGCGGATAGATGACTGACTGACTGACTCTCTCCCTCCTCCTCTCCCTCTCCCCCTCTCTCCCTCCCTCTCCCTCTCCCCTCCCCTCCCTCTCTCTCCCCCTTCCTCCCTCCCTCTCCCCCTTCCTCCCTCTCCCCTCCCTTTTTCTCCTCCCCCCATGCCATAACTTGGTTTTTCAAATAAGTAAAAGTAAATCTTTAAAAAAATAAAAGTATTTTCAAGGCTTGTGCTTGTTATAGCATGTTAGTACTTTGTTCCTTATTATTGCCATATAGTATGCCACTGTGTGGGTATACTAGATGTGTTTATTCATCTCAGTTGATGGATATTTGAATTGTCTCCACTTCTTAGCTGTCACAAATGGTGCTCCTCTGAAAAATTTTACATACAAGGAATCTTTATTTTTTTCCTGGATGTGTACCTAGGAGTTGGACTGTTGGTTCATATGGTGACTCCTTTTAATCTTTGAGAAATTGCAGACTTTTCCAAAACAGTATAGTGTTTTAAAAAAGTGATCTGTACAAGGGTATGAAGAATCTGCATGGTTCAAATAAATGATGACATAAACGTTCGTTCTTTCTTTTTTAAAGATTGATTTATTATATATATATAGAGAGAGATCTATCTTCCATCTGCTGGCTTATTCCCCAAATGGCTGCAATGGCTGAGGCTGATCCAGGCTAACGCCAGAAGCCAGGAACTCCATCCCAGTCTCCTACATGGGTGGTAGGGACCCAAGTACTTGGACCATCTCTGCTGCCTTTCAGGGCTCATTAGCAGGGGGCTAGGTCAGAAGCAGAGTAGCCGGGACTCAGACTGGTGCTCTGATATGGACCCCTGTGTGGCAGGCATAAGCTTCACCCGCCACACCACAACACTCATCCTAGATGTTCTTTCTTTTGAAAAATACACCCTTTAAAGTTTTATAGGCTTTTGCTCCTTGTCTGTGTATCTTGCTTGCTGTATTTCACTGCCTAAATAGATAACAGCATCATTTTCCAAATTCAGTTTCCTAGCAGACATCTGTTTACAGTTACATCGCCGGTCAGATGTTGATACCAACTTTTAAGGTAAAATTTACTTTCTTAAGCAGCAGCAACATCAGCTCCTTTTGTTGCTGTGAAATGTGAGGTGCGAGCGTAATGGGAAAACCAGGGGGTGTTTGTTTTCTCTGTGAGATGGAGAGCAGCCGAGCTGTGATAAGAGCCTCACCACAAGCTATACAGAACTGGCTGGGCCCCTGGAAAGGTGATGCTGGAAAGATGATGCTGCCGTCAGTGCTACATGTCATAGCCCAACAGCTCGGGGAAAAGGGGGAAATAGCATCTTAAAACTGGAAGGAGCTCAAGAAAAAAAATTTCTCTGCCCCTGTGTTTTGGCAGGATAATTGTAAGCTTTCTGAAAGGCTGTGGTCTGTACTTCATTTTCTAAAGGCCACTGCATTGAAGATTCAGAAACATTCATCAGAAATGTGTGTTCATAGTAGCTTTATAGTTCTAGTTAGAAAACTCAGTTTTAAGAAACAGGCCGGCACTGTGGCTCAATAGGCTAATCCTCCACCTAGCGGAGCCAGCACACCGGGTTCTAGTCCTGGTCGGGGCGCCGGATTCTGTCCCGGTTGCCCCCCTTCCAGGCCAGCTCTCTGCTATGGCCTGGGAGTGCAGTGGAGGATGACCCAAAGTCCTTGGGCCCTGCACCCTATGGGAGACCAGGAGAAGCACCTGGCTCCTGGCTTCGGATCAGCGTGGTGCGCCGGCCGCGGCGGCCATTGGAGGGTGAACCAAAGGCAAAAAGGAAGACCTTTCTCTCTGTCTCTCTCACTGTCCGCTCTGCCTGTCAAAACAAACAAACAAACAAAAAACTCAGTTTTAAGAAACAGAGAAAGACTCTAGTTTACGGTGGTTCAGTGAGTTTGTGCTTTGTTAAGAAGACCTGCAATCCTGATCTGAAACTTTGGAGCTGTATTTGTGTCAAGATTCAGGTTTTTAGGGGTTTTCAAAATGTTATTCCATGTTGGGCCAGTTTTTCCATGTTGTGGCACAAAGGGTTAAGCCACCACCTGCGACGCCAATGCAGGCATCCCATATCAATGCCAGTTGGGGTCCTGACTGTTCAACTTTTTTTTTTTATGGTTAAGAATTTTATTATCAAAATTATTACATCTCTTGTGAAAGTTGAAATATTACAGCAAGGTGTAAACACTCCACTTGAGAAAGAAGTGATACTTCTTCCCTTCCAAGAGTTCCCCCCACCCGCCATGTTCAGCTTCTGATCCAGCTTCTTGCTAATGCTCCTGGGAAGGCAGCTGAAGATGATCCAAGTGCTTGGGCCCCTGCCACCCAGGTGGTGAACCTGGATGGAGTTCTGGGCTTCTGGCTTTGGCCTGGACCAGCCCTGGCTGTTGCAGCTATTTAGAGAGTAACCTAGCAGAGAGAGAAGGGGGGGGGTCCTCTCGATAGATTCTGTGTGTGTGTGTGTGTGTGTGTGTGTTTCACATCAATCAATCCTGTAAGGGAAAAAAAGGTTATTCTGCATATTTCTGCACCCCCAGTAAGCATTACCCTACAATAGAATGTGTTAATATTTCTTTAAGGATAATATGGATGTTCATATTAAGGGAAATAAGTGCTGTCTATTGATATCCTCATGTCAGTTTTGCCATTAGATGAGTTATTAACAGGCTTAAGCATTCAGTTTCAGAATCTTTTGAATCTAAGAGTTGTAGATAAGGAAGTTAAGGGGTGATGGGCCTGTATCAACTCTGTCCTAAGGCCAGGATGAGGGTAGATAAAATAAGCAAAAACAGAGGAAGAACAACAACACTGCTGGGTCCAATCTTCCTGGACGTCAGTGGAACAACAGGTCTAACTGCTGGGTCTCCAGAGCCGGCAGCAGCAGGTGGAAACTGCCCCTGCATGGTAAAGGGGAGACGGAGCCTGGACCTGGAACCCTGCCCAGTGCACGAGGCCAGGCGCTCGGGTAGAACCGAGGCTGTTAGAGCTCCTGCACAGACCGCTGTCTGCTCTGCAGCGCTTTGCCATTGCTGCGATACGCTGGGCGCTGCCACTGAGATATGCCGGCCTGCACGAAAGATGAAAGGCCTGAATGCGGGCAATAGCTGAGGGCACGGAGTGACTGGTGTTGATGGGCGAGACCTTAGGAAGGGGGGTAATGGAAGATGACTCCAAGGTTGGTTTGCTTACTGGTTTGTTTTTAAAGATTCATTTTTTGAAAGAGTTACAGAGAGAGAAGGAGAGACAGAGAGACATCTTCCATCTAGTGGTTCACTCTCCAGATGCAGCAATGGCCGGGGCTGGACCAGGTGGAAGCCAAGAGCTCCCATTGGTTCTCCCACATGGGTGGCAGGATCCCAGACACTTGGGCCATCTTCTGCTGCTTTTCCCAGACCATTAGCAGGGAGCTGGATGGGAAATGGAGCAGCCGAGACAGAAACTGGCCCCCATATGGGATGCTGGTGTTGCCTCTGGGGTTTTATCTGCTGTACTACAGCACCAGCCCCAACTCCAGTTTTCCTTAAGTGACCCAGTGGGTGGTGCAGTCATTAACTGAACACGTGCCAGAGAAGGTGTATGACTTGGGAAAGAGATGTTGAGCTTGAGGGACCCATGTATCTCCGTGTGGGGGTGCGGTGTCTACCAGGACCTTGAGCTCAGGTTGAGGGAACAGGATTAACAAGCAAAAGAGTCGGTGAAATGAAGGAAGAGGGTGACATTTTCTAGGTAGAGCATGAAGAATGGGAAGAGAGCTAAAGACAGAATGTTGGGAACCAGCGTCTTTAGAGACAGAAACACCGACAGAGCCCGAAGGAGCAGCCAGAGTGGGGAGAACCGAGAGGGACTGGTGTGGGGGAGCCACAGCGAGAGGCAACGCGGCATCATCGGTGCCACGTTCACGGAGCCAGGGGCCTTGGGGTTTGTGTTTTCCCAGAGCTGAGGAGGTCCTTGGTTCCCCCTGCGTGAACAGCTTCATTGGCAGCTCACTCTTTGACCCAAATTGCCAGTCCCCCACTTCTCCTCTAACTCTCTGCTAACTCAGAGTAGATTCCAGGCCTGCGGACAGATTAAAAAGTGATTCTGGCATCTGTGCGCATGTTCACAGGTGTGAGGAAAGGGGCTGGGATGGAGGAGAGAGGGCGCTAGGCCAGGTCCCGGTGCTAGAGGGACAAAGCCGGAAGCTAGCCTGGACGAGAACACGGGTTCCTGTTCTCTGAGAGGGAGGAGAGTGTGCGTGCGGAGGCGTGTGTGTTAGCTCTGTCTTCGGAGCAGTCTTTGGTGTGGTTGAGGGGAGACTGTGTGGGCTTGAAGCCTTGTAAGGAATAAGCATGTCTGACAAATGCTTAATGCCCTGTTTTGAATATTAAAATTGTAATGGTCTATAACTAGGTGTCAGGTATGTTTTCAGGTTTTTGAAAGAAAGTGTTATTCATATGACTAGATAATTATGTTCTGTATAAAAATTGCTAACCAACAGTTGCTTAGTGCCACAAGCAAGGCAGCAGCAGGCGCCTCTGTGAAGTTGCAGCTCTGCTGCGCCAAGGAAGGAGGGTGCGTGTGGGAAACCATCTTCCTGTGCCGTCACAAAACTCCTGAGGCCGTCTGCTGTATAAAGACAGGAGGCCCGCTGTGCTCATAGTTCTGGTGGCTGGAGGGGCCACGCAGCACACGCCAGCCCCGGCAGCATCCCAGTGTGGTGGAGTACTAGAAAGGGGACCGGCTGCATGGTGAAGGGGCCGGGCATGTGTTGTGGCAGCCCCTCGCTCTAGAGTACCCACTTTGTCTCCTGGGAGGGTGGTGCACCAGTAGCCTGATAACCTCCCACTGGGCCCCACCTGTTCGTGGTGGCGCCACCTCAGCACCACCGTCTGCGGGCCAAGCTTTCAGCTCATGAACCTGTCGGGACAAACCTTACCTGCAGAGCCCAGAAGACTGTGCAGTGTGTTCACGGCAGAAGGGAATGGCGGTGTTCGCGGACGCCTTCTGTGCCCCTGTGTGAATCTGGGGCTCCACTTGTCTTTGTGGCATCAGAGCTCATTCAGTCATTTCACAGGCATTTGTGGAGGCCCCCATGCCAGGCGTTGCTGAGGCACTGGAGATAAGGGATTCCAGAAAACCAGGCTCCCATCTGGCGGTCGTGTCAGGGCGGCAGAGCACGTGATGGCCCTGAACTCAGTGGGGATCCTGGGACTGGAAAGTGAAGAAGGAAGCCCCGTGTATCTGAGTTCACGGGCACGTGTTGTGGTGCAGCAGGTTAGGATGCTGCTTGGGATGCCTGTATCTCATACCAGAATGCTGGTTCGAGTCCTGGCTGCTCTACTTCTGATCCGGCTTCATGCTAATGCAACCTGGGAGGCAGCAGATGAGGCTCCAGTGCTTGGACCCCTGGCATTCATGTAGGAGACCCAGGGGAGCTCCAGCCTCCTGGCTTTGGCCTGACCCAGCCTTGGCCGTGGCAGGCATTTGGGGAGTGAACCAGGGGATGGACAATCTATTCTGTTTTGTCACTCTGCCTTTGGAGTAGATGGAAACAAATAAACAGACTTCCCCCCCAAAAATAAAGGAAGTTTATTGGATGGCTTCCATGTGGGATTCCATTCCCAGGTGGTCTGATCAGGGCTTGTTCCATGGATTTCTCCCGGAAGAGGAAAGGTTTTGGCTTTCCCAGGCCATAGGGAGCTGAGTGACAGCAGTCCTTGGCTGTGCCTTAGGAGTAGCCTCTCAGGGGCCTTGGTGGGCCAACCCACCTTATCAGAAAGGCCAGTGGCAGCTTTTAAGCTCTATGGCTACAGAGCGGCTGACAGGCAGTCGCCTTCCTTCTGAGGGCAAGACTCAAGATGGTGTCCCTGTGTTTGCTGTCACACAACCCCTGACATTGTGGAAGAGGGAGACAGTGAATATGTGCATTAATGATGTAGTATTCTGGAAAGAAGTAAGTGCTAATGAGGACGACACTGAGCACAGTACCGGTGGTGGGGGCAGTGCCCAGGAGGGAATTGTGGGAAGGTGTCTGGGGAGACAACACCTGGGCCGAAGCCCTGCGTGGAAGCCGACCTGTCGAGGGGCAGCAGGGAAGCCAAGGCGGGAGCAGCAGTGGGAGATGCAGATTGTGGAGGGAAGCTGGGGTCTGGCCGTGGACGTGGTCTGTCCGAGACGCATCCATGTGGAAACGTTGGGCTTTGTAAGCCTGGAGTTCTGCCAGGGGCTGGGCGGGGAACAAGTGCAGGATCTGTGTGGGGCCTGCCTTTGGATGGTATTTGAAGCTGCGAGGCTGGATGAAGGCGCTGAAGGTGTGAGTGCAGATAGAGAAAGGGAGTCAGTAGCCGTAGTGCATAAACGGTAGGGTTCACACTCATACTTGAACATTTTACAAGCAGCTATTAGTAATAACAAATCCTTTTTCTCTCTAATTCTTTAGCTCTGTAAGAAGCATCATTTTGGGATTAACAAGCCAGAGAAGATTATACCATCTCCTGATGACTCTAAGTTTCTACTGAAGACCTTAACGCATATTAAATCCAATGTGTCTGCTCCTAATAAAAAGAAAGTAAGAGTTTAATTGATATGGGCTTCAAATTCATCTTTGATTAGTTTTAAATTGAAGGGTAATTTTCCTGCTAGTAAGTCTGTTTTGCAGCCATTTATTGAATTGAAGCAGTGTCTCCTATGCCCTTGGGATTATTAGCACTAATAGCTTTATGCTAGATAACACTGTGTGTTATCCACCTAATACCTTGCATTTGGTTCCTGCAGTGATAAGCTGATTTCTTACAGGTGAAGGAAAGTAAAGAGAAGGAGAAGTTGGAGAGGAGACTACTTGAGGAGCTGTTGAAGATGTTCATGGACTCAGAGTCCTTTTACTACAGCCTCACCTACGACCTGACTAACTCGGTGCAGAGGCAGAGTGCCGGGAAGGCGGCTGGCCGTGCCCTCTGGCAGAAGGTACCCTCACAGCTCAGAGCAGGGCTTGCCCTTTACAACATCCGGTGGTCCATTTTGGCTTTTCTAGGAAAGCCAAAGTCACATTTTTCTGAACTGTTTTTTCTCTACTTTTTCTAGGTTGATGACCGATTTTTTTGGAATAAATATATGATACGAGATCTTACTGAGATTGGTGTGAGTAGTTGTTCTTATTTATATTACCTTATTTTTAAGATTTATTTGTATGAAAGGCAGAATTACAGAGAAAAAGAGAGGGAGAGACAGAGATGTTCCATCTGCTGGTTCACTCCCCAAGTGGCCTCAGTGGCTGGGACTGGGCCAGGATGAAGCCAGGAGCCAGGAGCTTCTTCTGTGTCTCCCACATGGTGCAGGGGCCCAAGGGCTTGGGCCTTCTGCTGCTTCTTTCCCAGGTGCATTAGCAGGGGAGCTGGATTGAAAGTGGAGTAGGGACCGGCGCCGCGGCTCACTAGGCTAATCCTCCGCCTGCGGCGCCGGCACACCGGGCTCTAGTCCCGGTTGGGGTGCCAGATTCTGTCCCAGTTGCCCCTCTCCCAGGCCAGCTCTCTGCTGTGGCCCGGGAATGCAGTGGAGGATGGTCCAGGTCCTTGGGCCCTGCACCCGCATAGGAGACCAGGAGAAGCACCTGGCTCCTGCCTTCGGATCAGCGCGGTGCACCGGCCACAGCGACCATTGGAGGGTGAACCAACAGAAAAGGAAGACTTTTCTCTCTGTCTCTCTCTCTCACTGTCTACTCTGCCTGTCAAAAAAAAAAAAAAAAAAATCTTAAAACAACAACAACAAACACAGAGTAACCAGGACTCTAACTGACACCTATATGGGATACTGACACTACAAGTGGCAGTTTAACCCAGTGTGCTAACAATGAGTAGTAGTAGTTGTTTTTGTGTTTTTAAGATTTATTTATTTATTTGAACTGCAGAGTTACAGAGAGGCAGAGGCAGAGAGAGGTCTTCCATCTGCTGGTTCACTCCCTAAATGGCTGCAACAGCCAGAGCTGGGCTGATCTGAAGCCAGGAGCTTCTTCCAGGTCTCTCATGCAGGGAACAGGGGACCAAGCACTTGGGCCATATTCTGCTTACCCAGGCCATAGCAGGGAGCTGGATTGGAAGTGGAGCAGTCGGGACTCGAACCGGTGCCCATATGGGATGCCGGCACTGCAGGCGGCAGCTTTACCTGCTGTGTCACAGTGCCAGCCCCAAGTAGTTGTTTTTTAAAATAACCTAATCTACTGAGACTGTTGTAATTTCTAAAATGTTGTAAGTTGGTTATAGTTGTTAAGTATTTTTTTAATTTATTAAAATAAATTGCAAAATCTCACCATAATATTTTCCCCCACAAAAGGGAGTCATTTAACTAGGAAAAACAGACATTTATGTGACGGGGCATGATTTCGTCGCCTGGCTGCAGGCCTGTCTTTTTAGCAGGTTCCCATAGGATAGTAGTGATGTAAGGCTGTGGAACTGACGGCTGTGGCATTTCTGAGTAAGAGGTGTTTTGCTTCTACCTCCTGGAAACGTGGACGCCCAGCTTTCCTGGACTGATGCGGCCGTCACCTGGCCTTCCTTGCCTCCGTTTCCTCCCCTGCTGTCGGAGCAGGCGCAGTGCTAGGCGGTGTGGCACTGCCAGTCGTGATGAGGTGGTGGTGCCCGGTTTCCTCGGGCTCAGTGCGTGCTGTCTTCCAGTGCCCTGCCGTGCGTGTTGGGGGAGCGTGCTGTCTTCCAGTGCCCTGCCATGTGTGTTGGGGGAGCACGCTGTCTTCCAGTGCCCTGCCGTGTGTGTTGGGGCCTGCCGTGTGTGTTGGGGGAGCGCGCTGTCTTCCAGTGCCCTGCCGTGTGTGTTGGGGAAGCTCGGTTGTCCACAGGCAGCACGTGCGTTCCATCAGTGAGCATTTGTCGAAGGCCTGCCCCATGCCACTTAACTGTTGTGGATGCTGGACACGGCAGGCAAGATGTGTCACTCCCCCTCTTCATGGAGGAACGACACTGAACCCTGCCTAGGCTTCATATCCGAGTCACGGCACCATTATGTCGCTCCCCATCTTCGTGGAGGAACGACACAGGACCCTGCGCTGTTCTTTCGTCTGCTCGGCCCTCCCCGGGTTTGCTGCTGGTTCTTCCCGGGTTGGCTACTGACCCTTCCATCTCCGTGGAAGGGTGGTTCCCCCTGGCCACTTTCCCCACTTCCGCAGGGGAGCAACACACCGCCGGCCGGCTCTCTCGGGGGCTGCACAGGTGTTCCTCTTAGATGTTCCCCTTAGATGTTCCTGGTGCATGTTGTCTCTCTCCTCCTTTATAGTCCTCCTCCGCCAATCCCAACTCGGCTGCCCACACGCCGAGTACACTGCTCTCCTCCAATCAGGAGCAGGATCAGCTCCTGGAGGTCATCACTCAAGTTGGCAAGAGGCAGCTGCGTAGAAGCTGTTTTCTCCTCTCCCAGTGCCATATTGTGGGAGAGCAGATGCATAGAATAAGTCTTAATTCCAGTAACTTAGTCTAGTCCGGGTTGCTCCCCACAGATCCCCCTTTCTTTTTATTTTTTGGCGTTGATACGCGCCTGTCTTCGGTGTCCCGCGGCACACACTCTGCTGTGCTTGCTGGAGTTGCCCACAGGTGCTTACAAGTCCTATCAATCAGGCAAACCGAATCCGGGTCCTCTCTTCGCCATGTTGTGAGGAGGTTTTTAGGCGCTGATGCGTGCCTGTGTTCGGTGCCCTGCAACGCATGCTCTACTCTGCTAGAACTGCCTGCAGGTACTTACAAGCCCTAACAATCAGGCAAACCGAATCCAAGCCTTCTCATTGCCGTATTGTGGGGAGACTTATTGGTGTTGATTCGTGCCTATCTTCGGTGACCTGCAGCTCATACTCTGGTCGAGCTGCCTGCTGGTGCTTATCGCCTTACTAATCAGGCAGACCGAATCCAAGCCTTCTCATTGCGGTATTGTGGGGAGACTTATTGATGTTAATTCGTGCCTGTCTTCGGTGACCTGCGGCGCATAAGCTGCTAGCTGCCCGCAGGTGCTCACCACCTCCCTAATCAGGCAGACCGAATCCAAGCTCTCTCATTGCCATGTTGAGGGGAGGCCTTATTTTTCTCTATTTCTCTATCTCCGGGCATTCCTATCTCCCCTATTTTACTTCTATCTACCAGCATTCCTATTTCTCTCATTTTACTTCTAAACTTCTGTTTCTCTTATCCCTGCGGCTTCCCGGCGCCCGCCCCGAGGCTGCTTCTCAGCGGCTTCCCGGCTCTGAGCCGCTTCAGCCCGCGCTTCTCTCATCTGCGCGGCTTCCCAGCTTCGCGTGCGCACTCTGCGGTCTCCGCGCCCCTTCGCGTCCGCACCACGGCCTTCGCGCGAGCCCCGCGTTCCCTATCTATTCACGCCCCGTGCTCTCTCTGCACGCGGCGGCTTCCGCGAGTCACACAGCGTAGCTTACGTTTCCGCCACCACCGGTATTCAATCTAAGTTCCCCGGGCTAACCTGGCGAATTCAACCTAGCTTATGCGTCTCCGCCTTATGGTTTGGCTTCCCGTCTTCTGCTCCCCGGGCTAATCTGACGGATTCCAACCTGGCCCACGTTTCCGCCTCTGGTTTAACTTTTCGCCTTTTGCTCCCCGGGCTGACTTAAAGAATTCCAACCTGGCTTACGTTTCCGCCTCGGCCTGCCCCCACAGCTTCAATTTCCCTAACATTTTTCTCTACCCGGTATGTTTCCCTAAGTTTTCTTCCAACAATATTCCTCCCTCATTTCTCCTGGCTTCTCCCCACAGTCCGTATCCGAGTCTGTTTGTTCTAGCTTTCACTTTCGCTTTCGACCTTAGAGATTTCTCCCAGCTTCCCCCCGTAGTCCGTATCTGAGTCTATGCCTAGGCTTTTGATAGCTTCTTCCGGCACCTTTTTCGTCCGGCTTTTCCCTAGGCTCTTTGCTAGTCTCTCTCTCCGGTATTTTCCCACTTCTTCTCGCTTCTTCCCTCCTAGGTTTCCTATCCGAGTCACGGCACCATTATGTCGCTCCCCCTCTTCATGGAGGAACGACACTGAACCCTGCCTAGGCTTCATATCTGAGTCACGGCACCATTATGTCGCTCCCCATCTTCGTGGAGGAACGACACAGGACCCTGCGCTGTTCTTTCGTCTGCTCGGCCCTCCCCGGGTTTGCTGCTGGTTCTTCCCGGGTTGGCTACCGACCCTTCCACCTCCGTGGAAGGGTGGTTCCCCCTGGCCACTTTCCCCACTTCCGCAGGGGAGCAACACACCGCCGGCCGGCTCTCTCGGGGGCTGCACAGGTGTTCCTCTTAGATGTTTCCCTTAGATGTTCCTGGTGCATGTTGTCTCTCTCCTCCTTTATAGTCCTCCTCCGCCAATCCCAACTCGGCTGCCCACACGCCGAGTACACTGCTCTCCTCCAATCAGGAGCAGGATCAGCTCCTGGAGGTCATCACTCAAGTTGGCAAGAGGCAGCTGCGTAGAAGCTGTTTTCTCCTCTCCCAGCGCCATATTGTGGGAGAGCAGATGCATAGAATAAGTCTTAATTCCAGTAACTTAGTCTAGTCCGGGTTGCTCCCCACAAGATGGCCATACGTCACCTTTTCCTGAAGCTCTCGGAACTGTTCAGCCCTTTCCCTGTTGTCATTTCTCTCCTTTAGTGGTGGTTGGCGTGAGGGATTTTTATTTAGTGGTGTCTTCACTAGATATCCTTCATGCCTCTACTGAGAAACCAAAACCTGGTGACAGAGAAGAGAAGGCATCTGTAACAGGTGCTGGCGGTGGTGAGTTCTCCTGGGTTTTGCTGATTTTGTCAGAATACGTCTACGTTACCATTGAAAACTGGTGACCCGCTTTAACAGAGATGACATCTGGCAGCACACAATTCACTGTTCCTGCAAGGAGTTTTGCATCTATTGCCAGAACAAAAATGCAAATAAAGGGAGCAGTGACGAGAAGAACGGGTGCGGGTAGCTTCGTGACCTCGCTGCTGTCAGCAGAGCCGCTTCCCGAGAGCCCTGTGCAGGCTCCAGGGGAGAGCAGCTCTGCGGGCTGGCACTGGCGAGCGTGTGCTGGGAGAGCAGTGGATTTGAAGCTGGGGCTGGGGCTGGGGCTGGGGCTGGACACGGTCATGGAGAAGCGAGACAGCAGGATTGAGAGCTGCTCTCGAGTGTGTTCATCTTCTACTGTCCCAGTGTACAGTCAGTCGGGAAGTCTGACTGCTCTCAGTCTGAAAGGCCCAGGAGAGGAACCCTGTAGTGGGCACACAGCTAATTATGTTGGGTGACATTTTAAACTAAGAAATTTGTGGGAAGGCTTGCTTTCTGGGCTGGATTGGGGTGAGAGGGGTCCATTTACCATTTGGGTTTTAGCTTGCTGAAGCAGGTTTCTGTTCATAAACTATGAAGCAAATTAGACCTGAGTGCTTCATAATACACTGATTAGAGCCGGCTGATTTTATTAAAGGCGCAATACAATTAGAAGCTGAACCTCAGTCTCTAAGCTGTATTTTTCTATACCAACAGCAGTAACCATAATAGCTCCATTTGCTAAATAGTTAATATGTGACAGGTACTGTGCTAAATGCTTTAGATGTATTATTCACTGAATTCTCATGACAAGTGTGTCAGGTGGTCCTTATTCCATTTCACAGAGGAGGGCACTGAGGCTGGTGACAGTGAGTCCCTTAGAGGGTTGGGGTGTGGCAGAGCTTGAATTTGCACCAGGCAGTCTGCCTCCGGTGCCACTTTCCCCTAGTCAGCTCTTTCTGAAGGATCACCATAAAGAAAAGAACAGTCTCCCCTTCCTTCCTCAGTGTTCTCCAGTAAGCAGAGTGTGGCTGATGAGTGGAAGGCTTTGGTTTCGCACACACTGAGAAGTAGGTGTTGGCTCTGGTGTGTGTGCAGGAAAGCAGCCGTAGTGTCCAGAGCAGACGCAACATGCCGTTCATCTTGTTTCCAGACCCCGGATGTGGACTTTTGGATTATCCCCATCATCCAAGGTTTTGTGCAGATTGAAGAGCTTGTGGTTAATTATAATGAATCATCTGATGATGAGAAAAGCAGTCCGGAGACCCCCCCGCAGGAGTCCACCTGCGTGGATGACATTCACCCTCGGTTTCTCGTGGCGCTCATCTCCCGCCGCAGCAGGCACAGAGCAGGTGAGTGGAAGGCAGTGGGTGCCGGGGCCACAGCAGGCACAGAGCAGGTGAGTGGAAGGCAGTGGGTGCCGGGGCCACAGCAGGCACAGAGCAGGTGAGTGGAAGGCAGTGGGTGCCGGGGCCGCAGGGATGCGACCGCTGACAACGGTGATGGATTTGGAAGCGCGGCTGGCTTCACAGTGCTGAGACAGTGAGGGGCTGGTCTTTGAAGAGGGGTGAATGGGGGAGGGTTCATGGAATGAGAAAGGAAAGCAGGGTGCCCGTTACAGCGTTCAGGCTGACAGCTGCGTCTCGGTGAGAGCGCCTCCTGGATGCCAGCCCCTGGGGGCAGCCCCTCTCTCGGTTCAGAGGGGGCTCCTCGTGCAGTTCACCTCCTTAAAAACATCACAACTGTGGAGGAGCTGATGCTGTCCTGCCTGCCAGTTGCCCATGGGCTCCGCGAGGCCCTCCTGGAAGACAGGCCGGAGTGGGGGCATCATCCAGTCGGACCAAGTCCGTTTTTCTCAGTCCTGCTGTTTCCTGTGTTACCTTTCTTTCAGGAATGCGCTATAAACGCAGAGGAGTGGATAAGAACGGGAATGTCGCTAATTACGTGGAGACGGAGCAGTTGATTCATGTGCATAACCACACCCTGTCCTTCATCCAGACCCGAGGCTCCGTGCCCGTGTTTTGGAGCCAGGTCGGGTATCGGTACAACCCCCGGCCTCGCCTGGACAGAAGTAAGCGCAGCAGTTACTCCATGTGCAGAACGCCTTCTGGGAGATTAGATCCGTGTTAGAGCTGGGTTTGCTTTGCCAGCTGCCTCATTCAAAACACTCTGTCTCACTGTGAAAGGTAGTAGAAGTGATGTGATAATCGCAGGGGTAGTAGCAGTTGACTTTGTAATTTCTTTAGTGATAGATCTCCCCAGCAGTAGAACAAAACATAGCTCCCGACATGGTCTCAATGGCCGGGGCTGGCCCAGGTACTTTCCCATTGCTTTCCCAAATGCGTTAGCAGACGGCTGGATTGGAAGTGGAGCAGCTAGAACTTGAACTAGCGCACTCTGCTGTAAGATGAGTGTTGCTTTAACTGCTGCAAGACAATGCCAAGGATTTTATTTTTTTATTTTTATTTTTTTAAAGATTTATTTTATTTATTTGAAAGAGTTACAGAGAGAGGTAGAAGCAGAGAGGGCTTCCATCTGCTGGTTCACTCCCCAGATGGCCACAATGGCCAGAGCTGCACTGATCCAAGGTCAGGAGCCAGGAGCTTCTTCCGGGTCTCTCATGTGGGTGCAGGGGCCCAACGACTTGGGCCATCTTCTACTGCTTTCCCAGGCCATGACAGACAGCTGGATCAGAAGTGGAGCAGCCGAAACTAGAACCGGTGCCCATATGGGATGCTGGCGCTTCAGGCCAGGGCTTTAAGCCACTGTGCCACAGTGCTGGCCCTAAAGATTTCATTTCTTCTAGTATTTTAACTTTAGCACTGGAGTAGCTAAACCATTTAAATTTAATTAGATTATTGAAAGAGGTTTTTTTAATTAAAATTTATTTATTGAGAGGCAGAGAGGGAGGTCTTTGATCCTCTGGTTCACTCCCCAGATGGCCACAGTTCTTCCAGGTCTCCCACGCGGGCTCAGGGGCCCAAGTATTTGGGCCATCTTTTGCTGCTTTCCCAGGCCATCAGCAGGGAGCTGGATCAGAAATAGAACAGCTGAGACAGGACTGGCACACATACGGGGCGCTGGCACCACACAAAGATGCTTAACCTACATCAGAGCCAGCCCCTCTTATTTATTTAAAATTTTTAGGTTGATTTTTAAAAAATTGTTAATAGCATATTTTTTCTCAAACCTTAATTTGTATTCTTGGTGAAAATTCAGTAAAATCAGTGTTTTAAAAAGGTTTTTGTAGAAGAGTTTTCATCCTTTTTAAAAATAAGCCACATGAACCCTTTTCTGAGAGGTAGGCAGATGTGTGATGCTAACAGGTGTAATTTCACAGTTTGCACTTTCTGTCTGGGGAACAAGGAGTCCCAGGTCTTTGGTTTATCATGTCATGTTCAAATGGTGGTTTTTAAGACAGTCCTACACTTGGATTGGCAAAAAAATTGTCTAAAAGTAAGAATAAAGATGGGGTAGACATTAATTTCTGTCTTAAACCTGGGAAGGAAAAATAGATTTTGTATCACTTCTTTGTAGGTGAGAAGGAAACTGTTGCCTATTTCTGTGCCCATTTCGAAGAACAACTGAAAATTTACAAAAAACAGGTGGGCTTTGATTTGTCGTAGTAAACTGTTTCTTCATATTTAGAAATGACTGCAATGATTTAAGTTTCATGAAAATAACAATGTACTTTTCCTAACTAAGCAGGCAGCACTTGACATAAAGTTTGAAAAAGCACTTGTTTAAGCTCAGAGTATTCTTAATATTTTTTATGAGTAATCATTGAGTTAGCTACTTTAGATTGCGTTTGGATACCATAAAGATTAGACTTTCAATTATTGCGATCCTAGAAGTCATCTCTCAGTACCAACAGTTCCACCTCCTGGAAATAACAAGTTGATCCATATCTCTCAGTATGTTTTTTCTTTGCTCACCTTCGTGTGTATTCATATAGTGACATAGGAGCGTGTGCATAGAAGTATAACCCAAAATCAATTGTAAACTGTTAGGTGAAGTACAAGTTTTGTAATTTTGATACAAGATTAAAAAGAGACTTGAAATCCATGCTTACAAGGGTTTTCAAAACTATACATTTATTTAAACTTTTTTTTGCAACAAAATAAACTTTTAATTACATTGTCCTCAAATTTTTTTGAAGTACCCTCCTATAATAGTCCATTAGCATTGACCAATGTGAATGGATAACACCGTAGGATACTTGTTTCTTATAGCAACAAAAAACAATAGGGAGAAGTAACTTAAAATGTAATAAACATAAAAATATACTTGTATATGGAGAAGAAGAAAAAGAATTGTGGAAGAACACAAAGGAAAATCTGATTTACATGGAGACAAAATGCCATGTTCCTGGAATGCAACGCTCAAAGGTGAATAGATTTCAGTTCTTCCCAGATTAATATGTAATTTTGTGCAATCCTGAACATTCTCAGCAGGAAAATAGAAAGATACTCTTATACTGAAAGAAATTATGAAGTTTGATAATCAGATAATGGCAGGTATTGTGTTTCTGCATGAAAACTCACCCACACTGTTAGGGGTGTAGGTTGGCTCAGCCATTTGGAATGGTATTATCAATTAAAATAAACCGTACTTTTGATTCAACCCAGAAGTTTGCTCTCTTATTTCCCATCTTCCATCCACAAAAGTCAAACTGAGATCGGTTACGGATCTAAATGTGGAAGGTTAAAGCTTTTAGGGGAAACTGTGAGATATCTTTTTGAACTATGCACTGACCATTGTTTTCTAAAGTTTTCAGTTTAAGATTACATGTCCCATATTTTATTAGTTGTTTAATAAGGGATAATACCCATCAAGGAAAAGGTTTTTATTAAAAAAAAAACACTAAGCATGCAAAAAATAGATAAATTTGACTTTAAATTTATTAAAACGTTATAATTTATTAAAGCATCAATTATAAATACTAAGATAGTGTTATAAACGCTGTCTTATTAAAATTTTATTAAAATTAAATAAGATCTTAAAAGTACTAACCTTAGTGAAAAAAGTTGATAACATTTGTCTTTACTAAAATTAAGAACTTCTGCTTAATAAAAGGCACCATTAAGACAATGGAGAGGCAACTCACTTGGTGGGAAAAGATATTTAACATTTTTTATTGCTTAAGATAAGGTCTCATATCTAGAGAATATTAAAAACCCCTGTGAATCCATTAAAAAGATTTGCGCCCAAAAGAAAACTGCACAAAGGAACTGAGCAGACCGTTCGTGAAGAAGTATCTCCAGAAAGCTAATAATCACGTGCACACGTGGTCTGCTTCATCAGTCCCCAGGGGAATGCACATTAAAGCCACTGCTCACACCAGAATGACTAAAATAAAAAAGAAATGGAAAATACCAAGTTTTGGAAATGAGGTGGAGTAACTGGAACATTATTAGGAAAAATGTTTAATTTTGCTTGGAGAGAAACTTGTCGCGGCAGGTACAAGAACATTCATTGCAGCATAAAGACTGCCTCGGTGTGGCAACCTAGAGTGCACACTACAAATGCTTAAGAACAAGTTAAAGCTGTGCACTGACATGGAACTCTGAAAATCACACTGTGGAGTGAGAAGAGAAAAACCTGTAGCAGCATGTGATGTGTAACCACTTAGAACCCTCACATATCATTTACATACGTGTAGCTCTCTTCCATTTGTTCCATCCACACGTGGCATGCTCACTTATGTAGAAATGTATTTGTGTGAACTTATTATAAGAATTACCTCCAGGAAGGGCTATGGGACTGGGAGGATTTGATAAGTTTATGTATTAGCAGTGCATGTAATTATAATTAGCATTACTAAGAGGAAACTATATATTAAATGTAACACACTTGTTAAAATGAAACAGTACTGAGGTGTGGGAGCAGAGGAAATAATTCCTCTCACCTCCCTGTGGACTTTCACGTCAATTTTATAGGTGTGTGTATTGAGTGGACACTTCGTGATTTCTAAAGGTACCCAGCAGTGTTCATTTATCCACCTGCTTCTCCTGGGTAATTGCTTTCTGGGGCCATGGGCCCATGGTCAGTCTGACTCAGTCGTGGTGGCACCATTGCTCTTGCCAGTGATTGGTGGAGGCGAGGGCCTGGGCTTGTTCATTGGTGATTTGGCCAGGAAGGTAAGATGTGGGGGAAGTCCCCTGGGAAGCTTCTGGGGAGAAGTTTCCTGCGCTAATAAAGAGACGCAGGAACAGGCAGTCCCCTGAGCTTGTTGTGTCTGGATTTGATGTGAGGCCACTGCAGCAGTCTCAAGACTGAAACAGCCTGGGCCTCACCAATGTGCTGGTTGGATAAGAAAGCTGGAAAGAATGGCAGATAAAAAGTGTGAGAACTAAGTCTCTGATGGCTTGGGGAACCACTGGGTTAAGCCCGTTGTAGACGGCATGCTGCCTCCTGAGTGGATCTGAGATTCGAGCTAGTGATTTGTCAATTGCAGCAAAAACCACCTCGACACATCATATTCAAAACCCCAGTAAAGAGGGCTGTGCCGTCCTGTTCTGCAGCTATTCTCACTGAGATCTCACGGTGGTTATTTAGCCATTTCTCCATTGCTGGGCCTTTAGGGTATACCTCATTTTTGCCATTATAGACATTCTCTTGAAAAATGTTATGTATTTTGGGGTAGTTTGTTTTATAAACTAAATTGCTGTGAAATTGCTTGGTCAAATCTATATATTTAAAGTTGCTCCCCCAATCCCAGTTCAGTGTGAGGAACCAGTGTTTGTTTCCCCAAGTAGTCAGCAGTGCTGTCTGTATTTAGCGTTTGGATTTGCTTGTGTGTAAGTGAAAGTAGTTTTCTGTTTTAATTTACATTTCTTTATTAACAGAGTTGTAGTCTCCTGTTATTGGCTATTTGTGTATTTTTCTTAGTAATTTCCATGGTATCTTACTGAATTCACAGCACTTGTGATATATTATTGGCTTTCCTTTTGCAAGTATATTCTCCCGGGCTAGTCCTTTGTTGTGTGTGTAATTTTTGAACCTTTGCTTAGACTGTCATTTCATACACAGGCTTAGAATTTTTGTGTTATTACATGTATCCATCCTTATGCCATCTGATTTTTATGTTATACTTAGTCACAGCCCAGCCTACAGTCATGGAAACATGATTCTATTTTTCTAGCTTTTTTGTAGCTTGAAGAAAAAAAATGCATCATTAATTCATTAGATGCTAATGATGCATCAGACTTAGATGCATTAGATCATGAATGCGTCTAGAATTTATTTTACATATAATGAGTGAGACGTAAGGAGCTGATGTAAGCTGATGGGCGTTTATCCCGTCTATAGAGTGGTGCATGTTGCTAGCATCCCTGTGTCTTCGGCTGCTCAGTGTCCGTGGGTCTTTGCGCCATCATCGTTTATCTATTGTTACTCAGCCATTCCTGTCCTAGTGACACAGTCTTCGTTGCTATACAATTAGGATGTGTTGTGCTCCCTAATGAGGCAAATCTCCCTTTGTTATTAGTTTCCAAATTTTTCTCAAATCTGTACTCTTTTTTTTTTTTTTTGACAGGCAGAGTGGACAGTGAGAGAGAGAGAGACAGAGAGAAAGGTCTTCCTTTGCCGTTGGTTCACCCTCCAATGGCTGCCGTGGCCGGCGCACCGCACTGATGCGATGGCAGGAGCCAGGTGCTTCTTCTGGTCTCCCATGGGGTGCAGGGCCCAAGGACTTGGGCCATCCTCCACTGCACTCCTGGGCCACAGCAGAGAGCTGGCCTGGAAGAGGAGCAACCGGGACAGAATCCGGCGCCCTGACCGGGACTAGAACCCGGTGTGCCAGCGCCGCAAGGTGTAGGATTAGCCTAGTGAGCCGCGGCGCCGGCTCAAATCTGTACTCTTGCAGATGAGCTTTATAATTAACTTTTCAAGTCCATAAAAAAAATCCTGATTGAATTTTGATTGGCATTGTTAAGCGTCAGGATTAATTTGGGGAGACTTCATATCTTTATAATGTTGAACTTTGCCATTCAGCAACATGGTATGCATTTCTACTTATTTAAGGTTTTCTTTGACATATTTCAATAAGGTTTCATGGTGTTCAGGATATAGGTTTTATGTATTTTTATGTTATTTCTAGACATCTAAGATATTTGCTGTTATGAAGGACCTCCTTCTCATTATAATTGACTATTGCAAATGTATAGAAAAACTATTATTTGCATTGATCCAAAAAAAAATCCCAAGGAACCTAAATTTATGAGACAGATGAAGATTTAATTTTATAGAATAAAAAATTGATGCTTGAGTGGAGTAGTTTCTAAGTGGCTATAAACTATTTCTAAAACCTAGTTTTCAGTAAATCATTCAAAGTGGCATTATAATTCTACCATCTAATTAAACGTGATGCTTGTCTTTTTCTCCCTGGCACAGGTCATCATTAACTTGGTAGACCAGGCAGGAAGAGAGAAAATCATCGGTGACGCTTATCTGAAGCAGGTGCTGCTCTTCAACAGCTCACAGCTCACTTACGTCTCCTTTGACTTCCACGAGCACTGGTGAGGCGGCGTCCTGAGATGCGTTTCGGTGCACGGTGTGTGGCGGATGCTGCCACAGCAGCCTTGATTTTTCTCCTCCTTTCTGGGAAGAAACACTTCTTCCTCTCCTCACTGGTCAGAGGGAAAGAATATCACTTCTTCCTAGTTTCCATCTTCATAGGGGCTTTTGTTGTTGTTGTTGTTGTTGTTGTTGACAGGCAAAGTGGACAGTGAGAGAGAGACAGAAAAAGGTCTTCCTTTTCCATTGGTTCACCCCTCAATGGCCACTGTGGCCGGCGCGCTGCGGCCAGGGTACCGTGCTGATCCGAAGCCAGGAGCCAGGAGCTTCTCCTGGTCTCCCATGGGGTGCAGGACCCAAGCACTTGGACCATCCTCCACTGCCTTTCCGGGCCACAGCAGAGAGCTGGAATAGAAGAGGAGCAACCAGGACAGAATCCGGCACCCCAACCGGGACTAGAACCTGGTGTGCTGGCGCCGCAGGCAGAGGATTAGCCTAGTGAGCCGCAGTGCTGGCTCAGTATTTTGTTGAGTCGTTTCCTTAGTTATGTGGAAACCGCCCCCCCACTCCCACCCCGCTGGCTTCTTGCTGGGTTGGTAATGCTTCCTTCCCTGCAGAGAGACTTCCTTGGTGTTTGTGCTGGAAAAACAACATTTGGCACACCTTTTTTTTTAAAAAAAGATGTACCTATTTATTTATTTGAATGACAGAGTGACAGAGGAAGGAAGGAGGTGGGAGAGAAAGAGATCATCTGTCCTATGGTTTACTCCCCCAGTGTCCACAACAGCCTGGTCTGGGCCAGCCCAAGTAGGGAGCCAGGAACCGCATCCTGATCTCTCAGTGGGTGATGGGGACCCCACCAACCATCTGGGCCCTCTTCTACCTTCCCAGGCACATTAGCAGGCAGCTGGTTCAGAGGCAGAGCCACCAGGACTTGAACTGGCGCTCTGAGATGGGATGCCGGTGTTGTAAGAGGCTGCTTGACCCCTGGTACCACAACCCTGGCCTCTGGCAAATCATTTTGACGGTGCTTTTAAGTGTGTGTATTCTGAACCAGAGTTCTCACGGTTCTGTGTTCATTTACCTCTATATTGGAAATTTGGTGAGGAAAGGAACTTTGATGTCTGGACTGTTCAGTGTATTCTTCAGTGTGCTTTCTTTCACAATGCATTCTACTTATAGCCATCTATGTAGTTGCCTGTATGCTATAAAGTAGTATAACTTCAAATATATTAATTCTTTTTAATTTTTCCAAGGTATCTTTAATATATCTTGTTTTTTTTTAAAGATTGTATTAAGTATTTTTTTCTTTCTTTTGGCATGCATTGTAGCCGAGGAATGAAGTTTGAGAACGTTCAAACACTAACAGATGCCATTTATGACATTATTCTTGACATGAAGTGGTGTTGGTAGGTATTTCCTAAGTCATTTTGACAAGCTCTTGGCCTGAGAAATCACACGCTTTGCCTGGTACCACTAAGCAAGAGATAGTCATGTGCTGAGGGAACATTTTTGGTTCTTGCTTTCCCGTTTCTTTCATTTTCAAGTGCTATTGATCATCAGGCAGGGTTAGCTCTGAACGGGAAATGGGGTCTGGTGGGTGGGCGAGACGCAGTGAAGAGCCCTGTGTCCGTGGTGTAAGGATGTCTGTTCATTGTTTCTTGCGCGTCCTGCTCTGCGTGTTCTCTTTCTCTTCTTTCTCGCTGCCCCTAACGTGGGAAGGAAGGCTTAGAAGTACCAAGGCTCTTTTCTAAGCTATCAGAGAAGGAAGTGATTCCTAGACCACAGGAGGTAGCTCTAGGAGAAAAAAAAAAAAGTGGCTTAAAGGACAGAGGAGAACATTTGATTATATTTTCAGACCATACAGGTAGCTCAAGAAATTAGATGAATAAGGCACGCCGCCGCACGACTCCTGGCCGGTGGTAAAGTCTGTTTCAGACAGTTTAGAGGCCTCTCTGCTTTCGGTCCAAAGGACGGTGCGTTCAGAGTGCCTGCTGGTGTTTAAGTGTTGATTCCAATAGCTGCGTGACAGCGTGGAGATCACTCACTGCGCACCTCCATTTTTTTGTCTTTTTGTTTTTTCCCTAAAATGGGTCAATGCTACCTTCATTGTCAAGTGATTGTACAAATTACCAGTAATGTGTATAAGGAACTCGATGTCTGTCGCATAATATTTCAAACATACTGCTAACTAATGTTGCTGTAAATATAATACTTTAAAAAAAATGGTTTTTGAAAAACTGAAGTCTTTCATGTTGTCAACTGATCATATGTTGTTTTTGAAAAGGGTTGATCAAGCTGGGGTAATCTGTAAACAAGAAGGGATTTTCCGCGTCAATTGCATGGACTGCCTGGATCGCACCAACGTGGTCCAAGCCGCCATCGCACGCGTGGTCATGGAACAGCAGGTAAATGGAGCGCACTGGATTGCATGTGCAAACACATAGCTACAATCTTGCCTCAAATCTCAAATGTTCTACAGAACATTTACGGCACACAGACATCCCCTTTTCCTCGAGACCTGGGTCGCACAACCTTTCCTAGAAATGAGCTGAATGAAGTCACGTGTCTCAAATGCTCATTTAGAAGCTGGCAGCCTGGCATATGTGCTCATTTACCTTTTTTTTAATTTTTTTTATTTTTTTTGACAGAGTGGACAGTGAGAGAGAGAGACAGAGAGAAAGGTCTTCCCTTTCCGTTGGTTCACCCCCCAATGGCCACTGCAGCCGGCGCACCGCGCTGATCCGATGGCAGGAGCCAGGTGCTTCTCCTGGTCTCCCATGGGGTGCAGGGCCCAAGCACTTGGGCCATCCTCCACTGCACTCCCTGGCCACAGCAGAGAGCTGGCCTGGAAGAGGGGCAACTGGGACAGAATCCGGCGCCCCGACCAGGACTAGAACCCAGTGTGCCGGCGCCGCAAGGTGGAGGATTAGCCTAGTGAGCCGCGGCAGCGCCGGCCCTCATTTACCTTTTCTCTCAACTCCAAATCCATCCTCCCTGGACTTGGGACTAGTCCTGCACTCATGTCTGCTTGGCCAGCCAGCACTGCCAGGAGGGGGCGCTAACAGCAGCTGGTGAGGCAGGCAGGGGAGGCAGGACAGCCCCTCCATCTGCGTGAATCCTGGCAGCAGCTTGCTCTTCCGGTGCCTGGATTTCCCTGACCCTGCAGCACCAGCCTCTCCCCGTGGTTTGGGCAGGAGCTGTGTCCTCGTGTCTCCCCATCTCCGTTTCTTCAGTGTCTGTTTTGGATTTCCCAGCCCTCCAGAACCTGGAAGACGGAGTCCTCATATTAAGTTCCCAAGGTGGAGACACCCGGCATGGTTTCTGGTTTTGTTTTTCTGATAGAGCCTTCTGTGCTTTTGCTCTCATGTAGTGTTTAGGCAGCTGGGCATTGGAATTCCAGCCCTGGCACCACCGCATACCGAGTGTTGGAGCCATGCAAAGACCTTGACCTCTCTAGACCTCGGTGTGTCTCTTTAAGATGGGGGGAATAAGAGTGTTGGTTGCATAGGGTTATCACAGTGAGTAGAAGAGATCATTTATGTCGAAAGCTCCCAGCACCTAGCTCTGGCCCAGGATTTACATTCACTGCGTATTTATTCTACTGATATCATTATGGTCTCTGCTTTCTTGATATTCAGTTCCACTTCGTAGGCCTGTATAAGAACAGACACATTTACCACAGTGTGGCCCTATCCGTGCAGAACTCCGACAAGCAGTGCTTTGCTGTCTTTGTAAAGTCTGCCTCCGTTCGGCTTCTCTGAGGGCCCTGAGTTCTCTGTGAATGTGCGTCCTCCTTCTGCAGCACATGCGTCACACCAGGGTTTCCTGGCTCCCACACGGCTAATCCACTGATGTGTTCCTTTTAGCTGAAAAAATTAGGCGTGATGCCCCCAGAGCAGCCACTGCCCATGAAGTGTAATCGGATCTACCAGATAATGTGGGCTAACAATGGCGACTCCATCAGCAGGCAGTACGCGGGGACGGCGGCTCTGAAGGTACGTGCACGCCTCGTCGGTGGACACGGGTTAGGCCATGGGCTCGGAACAGCTGTGTTTGCAACAGAGTGCTCTATGGGCCATACTCTGTGTGGTTCACTGTTCTCCGGATGCTTGGCTGAGGCGGGGGTCACCTGTACAGGTTGCTGCGGGGACCAGGGCATGTGAGCCAGGCAGGCCGCACGTTAGAGGGAGCCAGGGGCTTTACGAACCAGGGAGGAGTGTGAGCTGTTCTGGGAGGCACCCCTCTGTCTCTTGAGGAGGCCAGTGGTGCCACATCTTCTTTTTTGGTTTTCAAGGGAGCCTGGAAATCTTGAGTTATATGGGAAGTGGTTGGTTTTTAAAACTGTGTAGGCAAAACAGAACAGGCCTGCTGGTGGATTCAGAGTGAGGTTCTGAATCCTCAGAGTTTGAGTGGCAGCTGTACTTCATTCAGCAAGGCACCCCCCTGCAGCCCAGCCCAGCGCATGTGACCCGTAGGGGTGGTACCAGGCCTGCTGCAAAGGTTGCTGTAGGATTGCCTGAGTTCATACATGTAAGTGCTTAAAAGATTTATTTTATTTATTTGACAGGCAGAGTTACAGAGAGAGGTAGAGACAGAGAGAGAGGTCTTCCATCCGCTGGTTCACTCTCCAGTTGGCTGCAACGGCCGGAGCTGCACCAATCCGAAGCCAGGAGCCTCTTCCGGGTCTCCTACGCGGGTGGAGGGGCCCAACAACTTGGGCCATCCTCTACTGCTTTCCCAGGCCACAGCAGAGAGCTGGATCAGAAGTGGAGCAGCCGGGACTAGAACCGGCGCCCATATGGGATGCCAGCTCTTCAGGCCAGGGAGTTAACCCACTGAGCCACAGCGCCGGCCCCAATACATCTTTTTTTTTTTTTTTTTAAGATTTTTTTAAAGATTATTTATTTGAAAGAGTGACAGAAGGAGGGAAGGAGAGGGAGAGAGAAAAAGGGAAAGAAAAATCTATCTTCTTTTTAAAAAATATTTATTTATTTGAAAGTTAGAGAAGGAGAGACAGAGAGAGAAAGTCTCCATCCACTGGTTCAGTCACCCAGTTGGCTGCAATGGCTGGAGCTGTGCCATTCTGAAGCCAGGAGCCAGGAGCTTCTTCTGGGTCTCCCATGCGAGTGCAGGAGCCCAAGGACTTGGGCCATCCCCCACTACTTTCCCCAGCCATAGCAGAGAGCTGGATCCGAAGTGGAGCAGCTGGGACTAGAACGGGTGCCTATATGGGATGCTGGCACTGCAGGCGGTGGCTTTACCCCACTATGCCACAGCACCGGCCCCAAGAGTTTTATCTTCCATCCACTGGTTTACTCCCCAGATGCCAGGGCTGGGCCAGGCTAGAGCCAGGAACTCCATCCAGTTCTCCTTTGTGGGTGGCAGAGCCCCCAAGTACTTGGACCTTCATCTGGTACCTTCCCAGGTGCATTAGCAGAAACCTAGGTTAGAAACAGAGCAGCAGGGACTTGAACCAGCACCTGATATGGGTGCTGTAAGCTGGTGCTGTAAGCAGCAGCTTAATCCACTGTGCCACAACACTGGTCCCCAGTCCATTTTTTTGATTGATAAATATCAAAAACTTTTTAACAATTAAGGGAAGTAAAATTTAGAAGTCCTTGTACAAGTTATTGTCTAAAGAGGAATACTTTTTCCCTGTGACTTTAAACTTCTGTGAGTTCCAGCTTCACGTCTGTTTCCTCTATAACGGATTCAAATACTGTACTCTAGAATATCTGTAATATTCTTCGCAGACAACCTTACTGGCAGCATGTTCTTCCTAAATTATCACTTTGGGGACAAGGCCTCTTTCTGAGATTGACTTGGATAGAAATAGTGAGTTTGGGATGCAGGGGGAGACTCTACTTTTCTTGTCTTGAGTTTAAATCACTGACTTGCTCTGAAAGCTTTGTTGGGAAAAGCAGAGGAGACACAGCAATTTGTATCTTCACTGGATTGTTCTACAGGTGATTGTAATGTGCAGTGAAGCTGGAACCCTCCGGTCTTCCCCTTCTGTTCAGATCCACACATCCACATACACACACAGGTTAATCCCATTATAATAAACACCAGGGAACTATCCGTATTTTTCTGCATCAGAAATTTGGCTTTTGAATACTATATGAGTTTGAGGCTTGAAAGTCATGATGTTTTGGTGTCTGTTGTGTAATTGGTTTCGACTTGTAAGTTCTGCACTCCCAAGAATGACTTTCCCCTAAAGCTCCAGTTCACTGACGGTGAAGACTTGAGGTCACCAGCATCGTGTTTAATTTCGTTGGCACACTTGCATCAAAGTGGAATCCTGGTAGATATTTTAATTTAACTACATGAGAAGTTATAAGAATCTGTAGATTTCCAGTTTTTTCTTAAAGATCTATTTATTTATTTGAAAATCAGAGTTACACAGAGAAGGAGAGGCAGAGAGAGAGATCTTACATCTGCTGGTTCACTCTGCAATTGGCTGCAACAGCTGGAGCTTTGCTGATTAGAAGCCAGGAGCCAAGAGTTTCTTCCAGGTGGCCCAAGGACTTGGGGTGTAGGGGCCCAAGGACTTGGGCCATCTTCTACTGCTTTCCCAGGCCATAGTAGAGAGCTGGATCAGAAGTGGAGCAGCTGGGACTCAAACAAGCGCCCATATGGATGCCGGCACTGCAGGTGGTGGCTTTACCCACTACACCACAGTGCCTGATATGGGTGCACAGTTAATGGTGGAAGTGTTCTTGGGTTTGAATAAATTGTCAAAATGACTTATTTTGCTTTTTGGCAGGGTGACTTTACAAGGACGGGAGAAAGGAAGTTAGCAGGAGTTATGAAAGATGGGGTTAACTCGGCGAATAGGTATTACCTCAACCGATTTAAGGATGCTTATAGGCAAGCTGTTATAGGTAAGGAACAGAAATGCTTTTCTTTCCTTAAAATTTATCATTCCTTCTCTGACTAGTTTTACAGAAACCAACTTCGTAACAGAATTTGTATCTTATGAAATACATGTGTTCCTATAGTATGGCTCTTACCCAATACACTGAAATTTGTATAAAATTAGAATCTGAGAAATGTTTTTGGCTGGGGCATCTGAAGACGCCATCTATTTCGATCCATATGTTTTTCAGTTTGATGCTCATGTAACAAATAGCAGAGGTAAAGCTCTTGGAGTACTGAATCAGGTGCTCTAAACCTCAACAGCTGCAAACTTTGGATTCTGTCTGTTTTCCCGTTACTCAAGGCCAAGCAGTGTGACCTGATGACGTTCTTTTCCTTTAAACCTTCTGTCAGATGTTCTTGCTGTGGGCAAAGCCACCACCCACTTTCATAAGCACAGCTAACAGTAGGACCGGATTTAGAGAGGGTCCTAACCAACCCATCATTTTTCACAAGGGGAAATGGGAGAATAAATTGCCTGATAGATTTCATACCTTGCATGTTTTTTTCTTTCATTTTTCTGAAAATGTTACCTTATAGGATTCAAATAAATGGAGCCTATTCTGGATTGGAATGAAATGCAACATAGCTGACCTGTGGTCAATGAGAATCTTTTTTAAAATCTCATTTTTTTCCACCTTATTTTTAGTACTCAAGAAATGGTGGGGCCTAGACACAGGCCACTTAGGAATCTGAAAAGTCTGGTATAAAACTTTCCTCATTTGCCAGAGATGGAGGGTATATGCTATGTAGAGAATTGGATTTTAGAAGTTGATTCAAGGCAAAAATGCAACGCCTTGTTTCTGCTGGTTGATCTAGCAACTTAGTCTTGTATGACTGAGGACCCAGGTCCTGTCCTCCTAGCACCAGTTGCGTCCTGATCCTGAAGCCGGCTCTCTTCACATTTGAGATGTAGAGGCCAGAAGCAGCTGGACCTACTACTCTGTTTCCAGGGCCAGTGGTCAGATCTTTCCCAGGAGCCTGAGAGGGAGTAGGGAGAGAGGGGGGAGAGGGAGAGAAAGAGAAGGGGGTGGGGGAAGAGAGGAAGAGATGGGGAGGGAGATGGAGGGGATGGGGGGAGAGAGGAAGAGAGGGGGAGGGAGATGGAGGGGGAAGGGCAGAGGAGGAAAGAGGAAGAGATGTAGATAGGTATCTTCGTTCTGCTGGTTCACTCCCCAGATAGCCACAATGGCCTCAGCTGGCCACGCTGGCCAGGAGCCTGGAACTCCATCTGGGTCTCCCACTTGGGTAACAGGAATCCAAGCACTTGAGGTACTTCTGCTGACTTCCTATGTGCATTAGTAGGGAGCTGGATTAGAAATAGAGCAGCATAGGCTAAAACTGGTGCTCACGTGGATGCCAGCATCACAGGTGGGAGCTTAACCTGCTGCACCACAATGCTGGCCCCATCTCAAATATCAAAAACCACTATAGGGGCCGGCCTCACGTGTGAGCACCAGTTCGAGTCCCAGCTGCTCCACTTCTGATCCAGCTCCCTGCTGATGCACCTGGGAAAGCAGCAGAAGATGGCCAAGTACTTAGACCCCTACCTTAGACCTGGATGGAATTTCAGGCTCCTGGCTCCAGGCTGGTACAGTCTGAGCTGTTTTGGCCATTCGGGGAGTGAACCAGCAGATGGAATCTCTCTCTAACTTGACATTTCAAGTAGATAAATTAAAGAAAAAAAAAATGATTTGAAGTACATGTCTCACCAGGAGGAAGTTAGCTTGTCTGTTCAGATATTTTTCTTACTGTATTTTTTAATGTTACATTTTTGGAAAGTTTTTTTAAACTATTTATTTCCATTGCTTGAAAGGCAGAGCAAGAAAGAGAGCTTCCATTTGCTGGTTCACTCCCCAGTGTCTGCAACAGCCTTGCCTGGACCAGGCTGAACTAGGAGCCCGGAACTCCATATAGGTCTCCCGCAAGGGGAAGCCCTTGGGCCACCATCTACTGCTCTCCTGGAAGCATTAACAGGGTTGGAAGCAGAATAGCTGGGCGTTGAACCGGCCCTTTGGTTCGGTTTGCAGGTGTTCCAAGCAGAGGCTGAACCCAGTGCACCACAGTGCTCTCTCCTAGCCCGTTTTCAAATTGGTGTATTTGTTAATTAGTTATAGTTTGTATATATTGATACAAGTCCTTTACCATACAGATGAGTTGTATTTTTTACCTATTTTGTAGGGGTCTTTTTTTTTTTAAACTTCTTTGTCTTGGTACCCTTGGAAGTACAAAATTTTAAAATTTTAATGATGTCATTTGTCAGTTTTTTTCTTTTGTTGCTTATGATTTTGGTGTCACGTCTAAAAAAAATCATGCCTCATTCAAGGTCATAATGGTTTAGGCTTATCTTTCTTTCAAGAGTGTTATAATTTTAGGTTTTACAGTCTCTCATTTTTTAAAAATGCTAGTGTAGTAAGATGATGAACATATATTAACACTTCCATCCTAGATTTGATGCAAGGCATTCCAGTGACAGAAGATCTGTATTCCATATTTAACAAGGAGAAAGAGCATGAAGCTCTGCATAAGGAGACTCAGAGAAGCCACCAGGAACTGATTAGCCAGCTCTTACAGAGTTACATGAAGTTACTCCTGCCCGAGGAGGAGAAGTTCCATGGGGGCTGGGCCCTCATTGACTGTGACCCCAGGTGAGCTGCGGTGGTTGTCTGCTGACTCCCTTGCTAAACGTGTGATGCTGGAAAATTGTCATAGGTAACGCTAGCAGTTGTCCACGTGCTCTAGGCCTGGATGCGTGGTGCATGGCAGCTACACTTGCCTTGGGGACACAATTAAGAGGATGCTAAAAAGCCTAGTTATGAAGAGAAGTGTCTTTTAGAAAGATTTACTTATTTGTTTGAAAGCGCTAGAGAAAGAGATATCTTCCATCTGCTGGTCCATTCCCCAGATGGCTACAATGGCTGGGCCTGGACCAGGCCAAAGCCAGGATCAGGAGCTTCTTCCAGTTCTCCCACATTGGTGCAGGGGCCCAAGCACTTCTGCTTTCCTAGGTGCATCAGCAGGGAGCCAGAATGGAAGTGGAGTAGCCGGGACTCAAACCAGCGCCCATATGGGATGCCATTGCCACAGGCAGCAGCTTGACCTATTACGCCACAACACTGGCCCTTTGACATTTTTTAAAAAACAAAAGCCATCCAGTTTCAAGTGATTCTTGCAAATATCAATGAATAGCAGGTTCTAAGTCTATCTACCTTGGAATGCTTGCCTTGAGGTTGAAATCTATAATGATAAATCTTCATTTTCACAAATCAGAGATATTTCAGAATCTAGACCAAGCTCTGAGAATAAGTCCTCTGTTTAGATTTTATCTTTTTTAGATTCATTTATTGGAGCCAGTGCTGTGGCACAGCTGGTGAAGCCACTGCCTACAATGCTGGCATCTCATATGGGTGCCAATTTGAGTCCTGGCTGCTCCACTTCTGAATCAGTTCCCTGCTAATGGACCTGGGAAAGCAGCAGAATATGGCCCAAGTCCTTGGGTTCCTGTATCCACGAGAGAGACCTGGATGAAGCTCCTGGCTCCTCTTCAGCCTGGCCAACCTGTGCCATTGCAACCATTTGGAAAGTGAACCAGTGGCTGGAAGTTCTCTCTCTCTTTCTCTCTCTGCCTCTGCCTCTCCCTCTCTCTGTAACTCGCATTTAAAAAAAAAAAAAAAGATTTTTTAAAGATTTATTTATTTGTAAGAGTTACACACAGAGAGAAGTAGAGGCAAAGAGAGAGAGAGAGAGAGAGAGGTTTTCCATCTGCTGGTTCACTCCCAAGATGGCCACAACAGCCAGAACTGCACTGATCCAGAGCCAGGAGCCAAAAGCTTCCTCCGGGTCTCCCACGCGGGTGCAGGGGCCCAAGGACTTGGGCCATCTTCTACTATTCCAGGCCACAGCAGAGAGCTGGATCAGAAGTGGAGCAGCCGAGACTCGAACTGGCACCCATATGGGATGTTGGCACAGCAGGCGTCGGCTTTATCCACTATGCTACAGTGCCGGCCCCAAAACATTATTTATTTTAAAAGGCAGAGAAACAGAGAAAAAGAGATCTTCCATCCTGAACTGACATCCGTAAGGGATGCCAGCATTGCAGGTAGTGGCATTACCCAATATGCCACTACGTGTGTTTTTAATAAAAGGGGCTTAAGGTAAGCAGGAGACAGGATAGTATTTACATATTAAAATGAATAAAAAAAATTGACTGTAGGTTCATAGGGAGACCATCTATAATGTTAATCTCATGGATAATTTCATTTTGATGGTAAATATTTTATGTTTGGTGTAACTTGAAGACTTTTAAAATAAGATGAGATTTTTCTTCACATAAAATCTAGCAGGAAATTCCATGTTCTTAATTTAATCCATTTGGTAAAAATATTTTGACTCACATGCTTCACTTTTTTTCAGTAGCAGTCCAAGCTCATGTAAAACCAAAAACAAACAAACAAACAAACAAACAAAAAAAAAAAAAAAAAAAACAAGAATAGTCCCTTAAGTCCTAATGAGAAATATCTGCAGACAGCACACCTACATTTTGCTTGAGGTGTTGCAAGTTTTTTTTTTTAAAGGATATGAAACTTAGATCAATACTATGGAATCAATGAAACTGGGAAAAGCTGGCTACCATTTTGTAGTGTCACTTTGCCTCTGACTTGGTTTCCAATCCTGTAATCTTCATAGAAAGTTGGTACTCTTGTAGAAGTGTGCAAAATTGTGCAATATTTAAAGCTTGCAGCAAAATTCAGGTGAGCGTGTTTTGTTAGGACTCATTAGAAGTCTCTTGCACAGATTCGTGAAAGCACTCATGGTTACTTCTGTAATTGGTGGAACAGGAACAGTCTTCCGGGTCTTTTAGAAATCACCTGTTGGGGAGAGTCTCAAATCTAAGTCTCATCTGCTAAAGACTGGCCTCAGGAATACAACTGTGCTTTTCTCTTTTCTCCATTAACAGAATAAAATGCTTCCTCTCTCCCTCCCTCCCTGGCTCCCTTTTCTCTTTGTACTCTCGGCCCTTCTCCAGAGCCCAGCACACCTCCCATTGCCCTTTAACCCTGCACTAGAAAGTTTGACTTTTTGATAACAGGAGGCTGGTGATTGTCTTCTACTAATCTTGGATTAAAGCTCTCTATGGGCTGAGTGTTTGACACAGCAGTTAAGACGTTGCTTGGGACAGTTACGGCCCGTATCAGAGTGCCTGGGTTCGAGTCCCAGCTCCACTTCTGTTTCCAGCTTCCTGCTAACATGAAAGGCATCAGGTGATGGCTTACATAGTCAGGACCCCTGCTGACCCTGGGGGAGACCCTGGATTGAGTTCCCAAGAGTGAATGTGAAAGTACCCCTTGTCTGTTTTCCTTGCCAAAGCCTACACTGCTATCCTCATCCTTATCTTCTTCTGTGTGGTCATTGGTGTACAAAATAGGCTTATTAAAACATAGCCATTGGCTTTATAGTTTCCTTTGACCTTTATTGTTTGGGACACTGAGAGATTCTGGATTCTACCTCGAACCCAAGACTCTTCAGCTAAGGATCTGCCTCCCTGCCATGGTGACGGTGAGGACGTTTCTGTGTTCTCTGTGAGCATGCGACCAGTGCGTGATGGAGAGAGTTCCATATGTTGGCTTTCAGTCCAGAGCCGCCTGTGGGGTCAAAGGCTGAGATGGGCGGTGGAACCACATTGTTAATTAGCAACTGCCTAGAAGGGGCGTGGGGAGCGGGGTGGGGAAGGGCCACAGACCTGTGGAGTTCGTGCGTGGCCTGCTCCTCGGAGACAGGCTTAGTTGCTGAGCTTTGTGACGCTCTGCTATGGTCCTGTAAGTCTGACTGTGCCAGACTGGTTGCGTCTAGCACTGGTTGAGGCGCTGGCTGCTTGCCAGTGCTTCTTGCCATTTGTGGTTCCCACTGTTACTGTTGTGCTGGAAGCTGCTTCCTGTGAAGCTTAGGGACAGGATGAGGCGGGTGGCAGGCAGGGAAGCTGATGCTTTGGAGCAGTGGCTTCTGGGTCATATTTTGGTTTGCTGACTTGGGTGGAAGGACAGGACCTGCTTACCATCAGTCTTGGTGGTGGTAGCTTTGTTTTTGTTTTTAAGTGGGAGGTGTTTGGTCAGCCTGAGGCTGGCTCCAGTATGAGCCCCTCTAGGGCCCCAGGGTTTGGGGGTTTGGGGGTTTGGGGGTTTGGGTTGGGGCTTAAGAGGAGCTGCAGCAGGAGGCAGGGTGGCTCTTGGTGTTCTGTGATATGTTTTCTTCCCTACTTAATCTGGTAGACACCATCTTTTTAATACATCTGAGATCTCTTTAAATTTGCTACTGGTATTTTTCCTTCATTTCCAAGACTTAGATTTCTTGATGGTGTAGTTTCCCTTTCTCTTGGTGAGGGAGATTTGGAAACTCTCTTGGGCTATCTGAGTTTGCTGTAGAAGCTTTGCACAGCCCTTCAATGGCATGGTTGCCCCAGAGTGGGGAGACCGTGGTGCAGAATGAGAGGTAGCTTTGGGAGTGGGTTCTGGGGCTCAGGTCCCTGGAAGGCCAGCTAGTGGAGGGTTCAGCCCCTCACAGGTGGGCGTTAGCGGTCACTGCCTGCCTCAGCCATCCACTCTTGGACTGTCTGTTTTCGAGTTGTGTAAAGTGTACAACTCAGTGACCTGCAGTGTAGTCAGTTGTCCCTGTGTCACCGCAGTTGGTGTTAGGACATTTTCATCACCTCAAGAGGAAACTGCGTACTCCTCAGCTGTGACTTCCCTGTCCCCATATTTCCTCTGAGCGGCCACTGCTGGACGGTGCCTCGCTGTGTTTGCCTAATGCTGGACGTTTCACATACGTGGACTCAAGACTACGCAGCCCGCGACTGCTGGCTGCTGTCGTTCAGCATCGTACTCGCAGGCGCGTGCGCGCGGCGTGTCAGAAGCTCACTGCCCCTCCCTCGCGTGGGTACGAGCATGGGCTGGGGCATCTCCCTGTCTCTGCCACTGCCAAGTGTCACTCTGAACTGTTGATACAGGTTGTCTGAGCACAAATCCTCAGCTCCTTGGGGTACATACCTAGCAATGCACGTGTGGGGACCCTGTTGGCCCTTCACGAAGCTTCTGGGCGAGTCCGGCTGCACCGTTTCTCCAGGCCGCACTCACACCTGTCTCCTCGCCCGTTTTCCGCGCTGCCGTCCTGGTTCGCGGTGTGAGGTGGAATCCCGGGTTTTTATTTGCATTTCCCTAACGACAAAGGACCTCGAGGATTTTTTCTTGTGGTCCTTGGCCGTTACTCTCTCTCTCTCTCTTCCTTGAGAAATGGCCATTCGAACGCTGTGCTTATTTTTGAAGCATCTGTGTTTTGATCGTCGAGTTGTAAAGTTTTACTGGGGCCTGGGCTAGCGTGAGTCGGGCGGACGAGGCGGGGACAGGTCCCGCCATCCCTGTTTCTGATGTCCCGTCCTTATTCCTGGAGCCGGCACCCCGATCTGCGCCAGAGACCGGGCTTCTCCGTGCCGCACTGTCCTCGCGCCCGCACACAGCCGGTGGCCGCGGGTCTCCGGATACGGCAGGTGCCGGCGGGGACTCGGGCCGCGGCGGCGCCCCTCAGCCCATCCCGCAGGGACTCGGGCTACATGGCGCCCCTCAGCCCATCCCGCAGGGACTCGGGCTACATGGCGCCC